ATTATTATTAGTAGTAGTAGTAGTAGTAGTAGTAGTAGTAGTAGTAGTAGTAGTAGTAGTAGTAGTAGTAGTATTGAAAGCGCTGAAACGCTCAATTTAACTTCATTTAAGACTCAAAGATCGCTGGCAGAAATAATACTTCAAACAGGTCAATAAGTGACTTCTTGGCTTTTCTCCCGGTTGCCTGTGAAGCATGAGTTAACCCCCCTCAGCCGCTCCCTTCATGTGGGGTTTGAAAATTTCTCCTTCATAAAATGAAACAAAGACTCGTCCTAATCAGCAGTTTCTGACAAACAATGGAGAGGGTGACGGTCAGTTTGGACAGGATCCAGCGCCTGCATACAGCAGGAACACATCCACAGTGCGCTTCAGTCAGCTGCAGTGCGCATTTGGCTGAAATAAAATCCAGAATACTGAACAGCATGAGGTAAAAGTCGTAGAGCTGCAGAATGTTCAGCGCTGCGCAGCTCCAGATGCCGCACAAGCTGTAGGCTGTTCGGGCAGATGCCAGTCCCCCCTGACGGTGCCGCTCTGCTCATCCAACAGACCACCGAATCTGCGCGATGGCTCAGCCGGAGTAAAGCCAACAGAGGGAGGCAGCGGAGGAGATCCACCATCCGTCGGCGCCGCCCGAGGCTCGGCGCAAACCACCCGTTCGATCCACGCCAGAGAGCCGTGCGCCGCAGCAGGAGAGCCGGACTCCGCGCTCTGCTCCCCCAGAACCCCCGCGGGCTTAGACGTGTTCCGGAGAAGGTCGATATTTCGCTTCCCTCGGCGCTCGTCCAGCGGATATTTCTCCTTCGACGGAGACGCGGCGCCGAGCTCTCCGCTCTCCCCGAACCCAGTGACGGCTGACAAAGCCACGCAGACTCCCAGCCCCACCGGCCAGGTGATGAACCACGCCCTGCAGCGAATGGCTGTGGAGCAGGGAGGAGGACCGGGGACGCACCGGCTGCACGGTGAGCAGGCACTCTCTGATTACCCAATCTGTGAGCAGCTCTGGGTTCACCATTCTCCATAAAGTCCGCTGAAATAAGATAACCTATAGCTGCTTTTATTAGGGATCAAATTGAACACGAAACCCATCAAAAACCATGAATGTTTTTGATCCAACGTAATCACTTCAGTATTTTAAGTCTGTATTAGTTTTTATGTGAAGTGGGCTTCTATAAAAACCTCTCCCCTGCTCCATGAATCATGCAGTGCAGGCTACTTTTGGATGTTTTCACTGCTGCTGCTTCTGTGTGGGAGGGAGGGAGTGCAGCAAAACTTAGGTTGGAATCTAATAAAAGCTCACTGAGGGTTTCCTCATCAACGTTTCAGGTCGAGTACAGAAGAATTTAACAATGACAGTAAAATAATCTATGAAAACACGCTGCGTCTGCCACTTCCTTTATTTTAGTTAAGGGATGACTGCTCTTTCCACCGAATTGACAGACTTGTGCAGACTCGTGCTTCCTTCACATTAGTTTGTTCATTTTCCCACAATAAGCCTGTAAAAGAAATCCATCATATTTGCATGCTAACAGACAAAACACACTTTTTAATTCAGCCAAAGATTCTGTAAATGATAGAATATAATCTTCAGTCTCTGGTAAATTATTTCCAAACCTGTGTAAACTCTCAAATGAAACTCGTTTCCACTAAATATAAAAAAAAAAGTCATTTAGAGTGTGTCTAAAGAACGTGGTTTGATTTGTAATTTGCTGTGAGATGTAGAGCAATTTGTGCATCTGTTATCGCTAGATTGTTGGATCAGGGCAAACATCACAGCATGTTTCTGAATCAGAAACAGTGTGAGGCGTCTCGACTTCTGTCTGAAGCCACAAACCACACCCAAGCGTGTACGTGTGTGATGATACGCACATAAAGTTGTTGTTTTGGTGATGCAAAACCAACTGGGTGTCAGATAAGTTACACGTTCTCGTGAGACTTCATATCAGTGGGGGAAATAAAGGGGAAAGGGTTCAGGCGTTTTGAAGGGGAGTTCTGAGGGAGTCAATATCTTACCTGCTGTAGATAGCTGGGCAAAGACCAAGAGGGTTGCTGCCATCAAAATCACTCCAATTTCCACAATTTCAGTCCCACTGTTTACTGTTGTTCCTTAATGTCTAACACATCCTCACTCTCGACTCGTCAACATTGTGACGCTTTTCCAAGGTTCCCTCTGCGTCTTATTTTGACGCGTCGGGTGAACCCCCGGTCAGCCTTTGCTGCCCGCGGTTTTTCCGGGTTGCGCCACCAGGGGTCTTTTCTGAGGTTAATATGAGGGATCAAGATGAATGGTTAAGCAGTGCTGGCTCTAGCCATTTTGGTGCCCTAGGCGAGTTGAAG